AAATGTCTCCAAAATTCTGAGAATGAGTAATTCCTGCTCTTTCAGTTTATACCCAACTATCACTTAAGTTAGCAGAATGCTATTTCGGAAGTGCAAAGACTGAAGAAATGTTCTCTCACACACACTCTTTCTTGTTGGCTAATACTCCACAAAACATGGGAGACAACAAGAAAGATGAACATGTGAGGTCCGCACATAGGGACTGATACAGAGTCAGAGGTCACTGCAGCAAGCTCAGGATACAGAACGGGAAGGCTCAGCACCAGCAAAAGCTCAAAGGAGCCATCTGAGAGATGGCATTCAACCGCATGAGGGGAAACACACTGAGAGGAATTTTACAACTGTGTGTGAGCATCCTAGAAGACACAGCAGTAAGAAAAACAAGGTAATTCATTCCAGGAAAAATGAAGTATCCTACAAAGAAACATAATCATAGTACAGGAGTTGCTTTAGCAGCAACTAATATTTACCTAGTCATAAATAAACCTGAGGGCTGACTTTTGATTTAATCCCCAAATTAGAACTGTTTCAGCCAGCTGAATGAAAGGATGTGAAGGAGTATGAGAACAGCAAAGCCCTCACCTTCCATAACCAGAAGTCAATATACAAAACTGTCAAGTTTATAAACCACAAAAAGCCCAGCAAAACATTACACATGTGTAGCAACACTTAAACAAAAAAGCTTAAATCCAATAAAAAGCAGTTTCCTCTAAGAGAATTTCAAAAGAATGGGATCACACCTGCTAAACACTCCTGCAATCGCCTACCTGTCATCTAGGCAGTTTAAGAAACGAAGAAAGATTTGTGCAATATTTGCTTTCCCTGCACAACTGTGGGAGTGTGCTGAGGCCAAGACTGTTGCACCTGCCAAGCTGGATCAGAAGTGGAGCAGCCAGGACTTAAACCAGCACCCATTTGGGATGCCGACACTGCAAGTGGCAGCTTTACCCGCTACACCACAGCGCCAGCCCCCATTTCTCAGAACCATACTAGACACACACCACACAGATTGACTGACTTACACCCTCACATGTGCTTTCGAAGGAGCACAGCACAGGGGGTGGTGGAGGCATGGTGTGGAAACAAGAACCAGAGCTGCAGGTAGAGAGACTTGAGTTCAACTCTCATCCCTGCTACTTACCCCCTCTCGTGATTTGAGGTTGATCACTTCCCAGTGGGAGTGGTGCCACTCTGTTACTTGCCTACCTGGATGGAGGTGTTCTGAATTAGGCCAAAGACCAGAGGATGCCTTTGACAATTAGTGGACACAGTCATGGATGCCAAACATCATGCTAAGGACAGGAGAGCCCAGTTAAAAGGACAGAACCATTCCACCCAAAATGCCTCTTGCCTCTACCACTAAGCACACTCTCACTCTGACTTTCCTTAATTTTCAGATGATGATAATAAGTGTACAAACCTTTTAGTCTAAGGGCTAAATGAGATGGTTGCAAGTACCCAGCCAAGGAGTAAGTACATAATCAGTTCTTGATAAATGCTGTGCTCAGCTAACTATCTCCCTCCTGAGTTACAAGCATGCAGGCAGCTCATTTTAAACAGGTCAGTTAAGCACGATACAGCAAACAAAGTTGAGCAACCATTTTCTCAAAGCAGGTAAAAGGCGGCAGGTATCCCTCCCAGTTTCACATTGCAGCAATATCTGCTTAAGAGGCTTTTACAAAAATTCTCCTAAGCCTTAAATCAAGAGCTAAACACTGTTTAGACAGAGATTTTTACAACCCGGATCCATTCTAATTTTCTTACTGCCTCTTTCACACGGTCCCACTAATGGACATAGCTCCTAACAAATCACAAACTCATGCAGGCCTCTGCTTAGACTAGAATACCTGTTCCCTGTATCTATGGTCCTGGATAAGGTTTTTTTGTTTGTTTGGCCTATAGAAACATTAACAGTTCCTTCAAGGCCCAGTTAAAATCACCTCTACCATGAAGCCCTCCCTGGTCTCCCCTATCACCCCTAAAGAGTCCATTTTTGTGTGCTCATAAGCTGAGCTTAACTCTACAGCTGGGATTCTCCAAGTTAGGATCCACAGAACTCTGGGAGTTCTCTAGCTTCCTAAGAAAACTTCAATTGCAATTTTCATTTGCTTACACATATATATTTTAATTATATAAACATAATCACGTATATTTTAGATTTTACATATATTATGTATATGTATATTATGTATATATGTAAAATCTAAAAAACATATAAACACTTCCTGGATCTGTGAACCAAGACAGGATGAGTGAGCAATGTAAGTGCCCACACCTGAGTCTGAATACATCGGCGTGCTGATGCTAACAGGCCTTCTTTAATTGCTGATGATGAATGAGAACAGAGCAGCAGGAAACTCAACACATAAATGATGTGTTCACACCAAGTGAAGCTCACATAACTCGTAAGACTCTTTAAAAGCAAAGGTTTTTCTGTGGCTCAAACAGGGAAATGCAGAAAGACCTGTCTCAGGACATCATGCAAGCCCCCAAAAGACTGCTTGACCCTGTGTTTATCCCAATTTGTACCATACATTTTGTGTATAGTCAAAACAGGATAATGTTGTAAACCTTTTATTGACCTTATAATTATGTATTTTATATTTTGTTCTATGAAACTGTTAAAAGAATCTGTTCTTCAGGAGTATCTGTATCTTTTTGTATTTGCACATGTGTAAGTTACATAAGAAACTTCATGTAAGTCAACAGAGGAAGTACAGAAAAGGAGACTAACAACACAACCTTGGGAGAATTTCAAGCACACTGACAAACCAGAGGGAGGGCATCTGTCCTTCCTGCTTGTTAAGAGACCTCAGAGTTGCAGCCACAGCATAAGAACTGACACATGTCCACTGACTGAAAAGCAGATGTGACTTTGGGCAAGTTTATTTAACCCTGTTTTTCTGCAATAAAATCAGGATACCAATAAGACAGGTTTGCAAAAGATCATGTTCAATACGATGTTTCTAAAAGTTCTTTGCGGATGGGAAAGTGCTAAACAAGTGATCAGTGCTAGCATTATTCTTCTCAAGCGCTCTGTTTCTCCAGGCTTATGGAGAAAGCCTTTTTTCAATGATCCACTTGGCCACCTGGAGCCCACTATGTTGAAGAGACTCCTCTGCATCTGAAACCACTACTACAGAAGATAAAGCCTGCTCTGTTTTTATTGCCCCAAACAGAAACAGTCAAAATACCCTTTTGATTCTGAAATAAGATCAAGGTGACAAATTGTAACTCTGTTTCCAATCTTGTTAATACCAGGATTGTTGTGTTACTGGGACATTTGGTACTACAGGGCTTTTCCATTTGTTTCATTAAACTTTCAATAAAGGCTTTGTGTTTGTTTATACCCTTGAAAAGAAAGATTTAAGCTCATTTAAAACAGTCAAAAACCCACACAAGGGATTATCTGCTATCCTCTTAACATCTGGCAAGTTCTAAAGTAGATGAGGACAAAAGTAGTGTTCCTATGAGCACAATTAAAATTTTCATTGTCAAAGAGCCACACAGCCTGTGTCTATCTGGAAACGATGAGAACAGCCAGAGAAGTGGTAGACAAGGAACTAGCTGCTAGAGTGGTCACAGCTCTAGCCAGAAAAGAAATTAGCATGCAGAAGCAGCATAACAGATCAAAATAAAGCCTGGAGGCAGACGGGATTATATGAACCTGAAACTGGCCTTACTCCTTTCTTAAACTGGCTCGCAGGTTCCCAAGTTTGGCAGTCTAGTTAGGATTTCTGCTAAAGCCTTCTTCCATACTGTCCTAGACGGTTAGTGCCACCACAGACTGTCTGCCCACACCAGCAAAGCTCTGACATCCTGCACCAGACCTGTCAGACCTCCAGTCTATTTTTAACCACGGTGTAACTTTGAATTGTAAACTCTCCAACAGTCAGGGCGGCCTCGGGGACAACTTCCCAGGAGAACAGCCCAGTCAATCACAGCAGGAGCTTTCTCAGAAAGGTGTCTTATGAACACAGGATCTTAATGGAGATGTTTCCCAACACACGACTAAAATCAAATCACAGAAGCCCAACGCAACTGGCTCGGCCACAGTTCCCTGTTCGCTATCCACTTCGCTTTGGGAGCAACCGCGAAGTCTTTCGGGTGTGAAGTAAACATTTCTGGAAGGCGTCCTGCCAATGGCCAGGGTAACCCTCTGCTTGTGCCATTTGGGGGAGCAAGGAGGGAGTGTCCTGTGCCTCCGTGCCCATCTAAAGTTTACAGCAGTGAAGGGCGTTCCGTTTGAGACCTCTTCCTGCTCCCAGGGCGGGTGGAAAGACGCAGGAAGGGGTATTTTAAGAAAGACATGTATTTTAAAAACGAGATTTTTTTCGGCAGGCAGGGGAAATAGAGAGGATGACTTAGAACAGGTCTGAGTGACAGAAAGCAACACAGCCTAACTAACCCAGGATTAGGACGCTGAGGCAGATGCTTCCAAAAGGACCGGCAAAGGGAGGGGTCATTAAAATGTCCACTCAATGGCAGACCAAGCTAATGAGAAGTTTTACGTGTCTTTTTTTTTTAAACGAAGTTTTGGGAACTTGTGCTCACTCTTTAAAAAAAAAATTGAGAAACATGTAAATAAGATGATAAAACCGCAGACGAGGGAGTGACGCCAGCGCTGTATTTACCCGCTCCACCTCGGCCCCACCGAGCCACGCGAGGGGCGCTCGGTCGCGCCCGGGCTCCACGGTGCTTCCCACCACCGCCCGCGGACGCGCGGGGATCGCCCTGGCCGCACCACTGGGGGAAGAGGCACGCGCGCCGAGCCGGTGCGGGGTTCACGTTCCGAGGACGCGGTGGGCAGGGAGAGCGAACTCCGCCGGGAGCTGAGCGCACGCAGGAGAGGGGAGTGCGCGGCACCGGGAACTGGGAACCCGGGAGGAAACTTCAGCCATGGAGGAAGGAGAACAGAAAGTGGCGAGCGAAGCGCTGCGTGGCCCCGCGGTCAAGCCGGGAGCCCCAGTCCCGCGAGTCCGCCCCCCGACGCCCCCTACCTGGCAGTGCCCCGGCCCGGAGCGGGCGGCTGGTTAGTTCCCGGCTTCTCCTCCTCTTCCTCTTCCTTGTCCCGGGAAGAGCTTCGGGGAGCGAAGAACCGAGAGAAGCTGTGCCAGGGGGCGCTGCCCCTCCTCCGGCCGCCGGACATCTCCCCGGCGCGGCGGGCGCCCGGCCCGGGACCGTCTGCGGGGACTTGAGCCCGGCCCGGCCGGGCGCCTCGGGACCCGGCGAGGGCAAGACCCGACTCGGCGCGAGCCGCCAGCGCGGCTCAGTCCATCCCGAGCGCGAGAGGCGCGGGCGCGACGCGCTCCCCGCGCGGCTGCCGCTGCTCGCGCCGCGCCGCGCCGCGCCGGCTGCTCCTCCTCCCGCCCTCGCCCCGCGCGGCACGCCCCCAGGAGGAGCCAGCGGCCGCGGCGCCGCCCGGAGCCCCGCGCCGCCGCCACCCCGCCGAGTGCTGGCCCGGGGGGCCACGCGCAGCCCGGGGACGCCGGGCTTCCCGCCCAAAAGCCGTCCAGGCTCTAGCCTACCTGGCTTTGCTTCCAGTTGACTACAGATTTGTTTCCTATCCTGAGTGAGGGCACGGAAAGAGTTCCCAGACTTTGCCAAGTTCGAGGTCTACGAACTAAGGTGAAGACACCTGGTAAACGGCAGGCGTCCTGAGCCGCCCGGGAGCCCACTGCGCCCCTGCGCAGGACGCGGTCTGCCCGGCGCCGAATCCCGCAGGTGAAGGGGGCGGTGCCCGCCCGAGTTGCCCGCTTGCCGCTGATCCCGCGGGCTTGATCTGCAGTGATTTTCTCGAACCCGCATGCACCTGAAAGTTCTCACCTTCCAGGTGGCCTTCTACCCCGCGAATCCTTTTTTTTTACACACTCGACGCGGATCAAAAGCAGGTGCGATTCAGCCTTATAAAGACCGAGGCAAGTGTGCGGTTGTCGGCACACAGACGTCACTGAGCTCTGGAAGGGACAAGGCCCTTAAGACTCCCTTTAAAGTCAACGTCAAATAGGGTAGCGTGGTTAGCCTACGTTTTTTATAGCCTGGCAGTGGCGAGGGTGGACAGCAAGGAGAGGCCCGTTCAGCCCAGGTGTTTCCATTTCGTTTGTTTAAAGCGTGTGCGAGTCAAGGAAATGATACGGCGTTTGTTCACTATACCTTTTACACAAGGAAATGAGATAAAAGTGAAATGTCCACCGCAGCTTTCCCCCGGGCTGGGGGATGGGGGAACGTGGATAATCCCAGCTCTGGCCTGGAGACCCTGCAGGAGAGGGCTGCTTTTGAGTAGATGCGCACGTCTGAGCCCCGGGTCCTTGCCGCACCGGCTGGTGGCACTGAGCCCGCCTGCCGCCCCCAGCCGCCTCCTGGAAGCGCCTCAGCTCCTGCTCACTGCAGTGTACATTGCTGTGGCTGGAATGAACCCACCAACCTGCCAGATTATCCGCCAAGATAAATTTTTTATTCTTTATCTTTGCAAATCTTTCCTGCTTCTCTGAGTCTGAGAAAATAGGAAAATGCTAAGCTAATACGTTAGAAGTTCCTCATTCTAGCTTTACTATTTCCGGGTGGAATCTCCACTACCGTCCACTTACTAGAAAGCCAAAGAATGTAAAAGCGAAGAGAGCAGAAACAAACCTTTCCCTTCAGCTAGAAGGCCTGGACGCTAATTATCCCCCTGAAGGGCTGATTGGTAAATGACTACCAGATGAGTCCCCCACGTGGCCTGTGACCAGAGCAGGCCCCATTACCCCAATGCCTACCTACAAGGTACATTGTTCAGGAAGTCCTTCTGGGGATAAAAGCGGGTTGGGAGACAGCAATATTTGTTAGTGGATGATAGTTTTAATGATATTTCTCTTAAAAATAGCTCTCAAGAAAAAAATGTCCTGCCAGACCGCATATTTCTCCAATAACCTCTGTGAGGAGGTATTAGCATATGTAAATTCCTTAAGTTTTCTACAGTGCTGTAGGAAAAAAAATGCTAATGCAATCCAGGTAGAATTCCTTCTAATAATGAACAACTCCAAGAGGTGTAAGATAATGTGTTTTTTATTTCTTTTTTTTTTTTTTTAAAGATTTATTTACCCAAAAGGCAGAGTCAGAGAGAGAGAGAGAGAGAGAGAGAAAGATCTCGCATCTACTGGTTCATTGCAAAAATGGCTGAAACAGACTGAGCAGGGCCGATCCAAAGCCAGGAGCCAAGAGGCAGGAGCCTCCTCCGGGTCACCCATGTGGGTGTAGGGGCCCAAGCACTTGGGCCATCTTCCACTGCCCTCCCAGGTGCATCAGAAGAGAGCTGGATCAGAAGTGGAGAAGCTGGGACTCAAACCAGCACCCATAAGGGATGCCGGCACTGCAGGCGGAGGCTTCACCCACTACACCACAGCATAGTCCCTGATAATATAAATGTTATTAGAGGCCACTAAATGAGAAGTTGGACCAGTACAGACCCATGATACATTTTTTTCTCAAGAGCGACTACTTCAGGAAGAAAACAGCCAACATCTAACAAGGCTCTGAGCTCCACTCTGGCAGAGCGATGCACTTGAGTGAATTTATAATATACATTGTGCCATGCCTCTATCAAGGCAAACTAGTTTAAGTCCATTCTTAAAAGACCCCTGAATTCTCACTTATTTGTTTTTCCAGTATTTGTCAGTTATCTAGATGTCCTACCTCTTTATAGTCTGAACTCATAACAAATTTCTGAAAACTAAATTCTAAGATTGTATAAGGAAATCAATAAAAATGTCAAATTTTAGAGTTGTGTAAATCTTAGAGATACTGATATTGCAAAATTGACTTCATTCATTCATTCATTCATTCAGCTATCCCCTGGATACTTAGTGCATGCATCCACAGAAGCACATTTGTTGTGAAGCTGATGAAGCTCAGGTTTCAGGGTACCTCCCTGGCACCATCTCTTCCAAAGACAGCTGAGCAATGTGGTCACATGGTCAGCTGTCTTTATAAAATTTACCAAAGTAAATATTTTAACTTGATTATGTTGACTGAGACCATGATATCTTCTTTGCCTTTGGATTTTCCCTCCATCAGACTCCTCCAAGACTTAGGTGGTGTCAGAGTTATTTTGAGAATGTTGGAATATGTTGGGGTATTTAAGCTGAGAATACAGTTAATTTGGATTCAGTGGGGGTATATTTAGTTGGCTCTTGGCCTCCCCAAAATATAGTCAAGTTGGTTAAATTTCAATGTGTCCATTGTGTAACTCACCAAGCATTAGAACCAAAATGAAGGGTCATTGGTTCTATCAAGACATGAACATTGGGGCCGGCGCTGTGGCGTAGTGGATAAAGCCACTGCCTATGGTGCCGGCATCCCATATGGGTGCCGGTTCAAGACCCGGCTGCTCTATTTTCAATCTAGCTCTTTGCTATGGCCTTGGAAAGCAGTAGAAGATGGCCCAAGGCCGTGGGTCCCTGCACCCATGTAGGAGACCTGGAGGAAGTTCCTGGCTCCTGGCTTCAGATCAGCACATCTCTGGCCATTGTAGCCAATTGGGGAGTGAACCAGCGGATGGAAGACCTCTCTCTCTCTCTCCCTCTCTCTCTCTCTCTCTTTGCCTCTCCTTCTCTCTGTGTGTAACTCTGACTTTCAAATAAATATATCTTTAAGAAAATGACATGAACATTCATCCTGTGGCCCAGCACTAAAAATATGTGGGCTGTAGAAGGGAAACAAGATTTGAAATGTAAAGCAGAGGCAGGTGTCACATGGAAGATTATTCCAGGCACAAAAAGACCAAGTCAAGAGGAAAAATTACTTCTAACTGATGTTAAGTTCTCTCATATGTTCAATAATGCAGTACATATATTTTTAATTGAAATATATTAATTGAGGGACCGGTGCTGTGGCATAGCGGGTAAAAGCTGCCACCTGCAGTGCTGGCATCCATATGGGTGTTGGTTCGTGTCTCGGCTGCTCCACTTCTTATCCAGCTTTTTGCTATGGCCTGGGAAGGTAGTAGAAGATGGCCCAAGTCCTTGGGCCCCTGCACCTGTGTGGGAGACCTGAAAGAAGCTCCTGGCTCCTGGCTTTGGATCAGCACAGCTCCAGCCATTGCAGCCAACTGGAGAGTGAACCAGTGGATGGAAAACCTCTCTCTCTCTCTGCCTCTCCTTCTCTCTGTGTAGCTCTGACTTTTAAATAAGCAAAATCTTATATATATATATATAAAAATTGGATTATTTGTGGGGTACAGTATGATAATGATGCATGTGTACAAATGAGTAATGATGGAATCAGGTTACAGGAAAAGGTAAAGCCTATAAAAGCAATGTATTTTTCTAACTTTCTGGTATACCTCTACAATGATACCCCTTTCTCATACTTTTGGTGGCATACTATGTGATAGTATTTCATATGCTGAAGACTACATTTCACTAACATTACAATTGGTGACAACTAATGTATTGCATTCCAAATCAGTATTCATTTTTGTATCTAACTTTTCTTAAACTGCTTTTCTTTAAAAAAAAAAAAAAAACCTCCTAAACAGCAGAAATTTCAGATCTCACAAAACTTGGATGTATTTGTGAGTGCTTGCTATGTGTCACATACCTGCTCATTCTTAGAAACAGGGATGGATAAGGACAAGTGCTTTCCTTCAGTGAATGTGTGTGATGAGGAAACACATGAGCAAAGAGGGCAAGTTAGGAAGTATTGCTATGGGCAAATACAGGATGGATCCCCAGCTTAGGGGACTCCTGGAATGCTCACTAGAAGAACTAACTGTCTATGCTCCCCTCCACTTCCTGTGACCACTTGACTTCTACAAAAAGACTATACTTCACTAGTTTATATGATTCGTGAAAAAACCTGAAGTTCATCACAGTGTTACTGACCTGCTGTTCCCAAAGCATAAGTACGATACTCCTCTGAAGTATGAGACTAGACAAAGTGCAATTTCTTGCAGCATTGGAACTGAGATGCAAAAGTAGTTTGGAAATGCTAAGCTTTTTGTTCTGAAAACTCTACCGGAGGGATAAACTTCTGTGTATATTGTCACTCAGTATTGCCTGAGTGGCAGGTGGCCCAGGAATATGAAGACAGCTGTCAACATCAACGAAAGCACCAGCCCATGAAAAAGCAAGCAGATGGATTGGGGCACTTCGCTAGCTGCCTCCTAGAATAATAGCTGTGCCTGGCCAAATGAGGCAATGTCATGCTGCCCAGGGCATCAAAAAGCTATTACTGGATCTAAGAGTGCAATTAGGAGATGGGGAAAGGGAACATCCTCCCCTTCCCTTCATTTGTATACTCAAGATTCACCACAGCAAATAAGAGAGAGGGGAATGAGAGGAGCATTTCTTATTCTGTTACATTCTGATTGTCAC